GCGGCGTGCTTTGCGATCAGCTCCTGCAGGCGTCGGTAGCTGCTCTCCTCGTACTCCTGAAAAGCTGCCCTCATGCCCAGAGCCTCATAGAGCTCCTTCACCTTTGCCACCTTCTCAGGCTCCTTACAGCCATAGTTTTCCTGAGAAAACACCAGAACAAGTCAGGCTGAGGTCCAGCTGCTCGTTCACAGCGTGGCAGGAGTCACCTCTTGTTCTCCATGCTGTGGCCTTACACCGCTCACAGCCATCAGCCCTGTTCCCGGCACAGCTGTGCAGGGTGGCAGACAGCGTTATAGGGGTGCGTTACGGCACCGTGCTCCCTCCACACCACATCCTCGGGGGGGGGCATCCACACCACCTCCCCAGCAGCCTGGGGGCGTTACCTCCAGGATCTGCCTCTGGTTCGGCGTCACCCGGCGCAGACACTCCACCACCAGCCAGCTGCACTTGTTGTCCTGGATGTCAGTGCCAACCTTCCCCGTCAGCTCCGGGTCTCCAAAGCAGTCCAGGTAATCGTCCTGGATGCGGATGGAAACGCGTGAGCACCACAAATAACGTCCTACAAAAACTGAGGGATGGGGAGCCACCTCCTACCTGGATCTGAAAGAATTCACCCATCTCCAGCAGGATCGCTTTGGCGTTGTCGTGCTCCTCCTTACTGTCAATGCCAGCCTAAGAGGGCGAAAAAGAGAGGAAATGTTCCAGCTTCTGCCTCCCTCCCGCCCTCCTGCTCCTGACAGCCTCACGCCCAGGGCCAGACCCCTCCTGAGACCCTTTCCTTGCAACTCACCATGTACATGGCTGCGGCCACGGGCAGGTAGAAGGAGTAGAACGCTGTCTTGTACTTAACGATCGCCTTGTACCTGCGGCAGAGGAACCGCGCTCAGCGACACAGCCCAGCCCTCCCTCTCCCAGGGCTCTGCAGACCAGGGCCAGTGAAAGAGGAGCAGCATCTCCCTCCACACCAGCTCCCAGGCTCTAACAGCGTGAGCGAGACGCACTCCCCAAAGCCTTGTCCAGAGTCTTGTACAGAGTCTGGAAGGGTTTGCAGGCAGAGCCACCCCACCACCTCTGTCCCCTTCCATCCCTTTACCTCTGCTCACTGAAGCGACTCAAATCCACCTGGGAAATCGGAGCAGTGATGAGGTCCAGTGCCTGCCCGAGCTCAGTCTGGTAGCCAGTCTGCAGAGGAGAGAAAGGGGTTTATTCACACAGCCCCCAGGAAAATCCCATCACAACTCCTCTCTGACTCCGCAGGGCAGGCGTGTGCCAGGCTGGACACTCAGAAGCCTATGGAGCAGCGTGGGACCCACACACTGCCAAACATCTGAAACAGCCTCAGGTGTACCTGGGGGAGGGGGGTGCAGGGGCTCACCTGCAGGAAGAGCTCCAGCAGCTGCAGGTAGTAGGGGCGCTCCCCGCAGTACTTCTTCAGCAGCCTGTAGACGGACGACT